TATTATGAAAGCTATATCTCTTACAGTGTAAAATAATAGCAATAAGAATGACTTTATGTAGCTCTCATTCACTCATTTTCCTCTGTCGTACATGTATGACGATATCTTCATTGAAAATTTCCTGAATACTCTCTCATGTATGGGTGGATGTGTACACGAGAAGCAATAATAAGAGACGACATCACATAATAAAAAAAGAAAACAAATTTTCCTAGAAAATTTTCATTCATTTTTCTTGCCTTCTTATTTTTTTGGACTCAAAAAAAATGCCGCCTCCGCTCATCTCGTCAATCTCTTTCCTTTTTCCTATCCATCCTTATCATCTCAATTGTTGTTATTGATGTTGATGTTTTTGGTATAAGTGAATGGAAGAAGCAGCTCGCGTTACTTTGGTTATGATGCGTGGCATGTAGACATATCCAAATTTAGAACTCGCATTCTTTCATGTTTATTAATGAAGGAAGTACGAAAATAGACGAGAATGACATGCGGCAAAAAAAATAACTCACACCCCCTTTCGAGACCATAACAATCATCCCAAATGTTCTATCCACCGGAAAGGAAAGAAAAAAGTTTTTTTACGTCAAATTTCGCTTTCTTTGCTCTTTTTTTCTCCCTCCGCTCGCCCACTTATTGACTGAATGAATAGGTTCTTCCATGAATGAATTTTATTTCTCCTCCGTACATAAAAACAACAAAGTTTATGTCTAAAAATAGCTTTTTTTTGCTTCTCTTCTTCCTTTTATTTTATTTTATTTTTTTCTCATTCGTAGAAAGGAGGTAGAAAGTTTTGGTATTTTTTTGCGTATCTCAATTCATATCTGCCAAAAATAAATGGATTTTTAATTTTATTTTCTCGTAGCTTGTTATCAATGAATTTAAAGTAGATGTAGTTGAATGTACTGAGCTGTGACTACGCGCAGATGGTTGCTTGATGATTGTGTGGGGGATGCTCTTTAAGGATTCAATGTTGTTTTTGGATAGATGTAGACCCACGTAGATTTTGCTTCTTGTGGATGTTATTGAAATTTTAAAAGGAAAAATCTATTTGAAGGATTTAATGAGATGAAGTGAATTAGATTTAATCTGGTTTTTAAAGTGGGATGAGCTGGGATAAGAAAGCAGCTAGAACTAAGTAATCTTTATTCTTGGAACCAGGGATGTCCATATTCGGTATTGAAAATAATCAAACTTTTGGTTTACTCATGCTTTGATCTCGATTTAACCCTTCTGCATAGTTATTTTGTTCCAGATTGCTCTAGCTTGTTAATATTCACATGTGATGCTTAAAATTGGAAAGGTTGGGCAGGGTAGGGGAACTAGTTAATGACGCCTACCTTCCAGTCTCCTCAAAATCCTCAATCCATTAATCTTTACCACAGCTTTCTCCGAATTTAAAAGAATAATCAATTGATCAAAAAATGCAGATATAGCACATCCCTCAATTTACCGCAAGACAATAAACTTGCCACCGATTCTCCGCTTTACAACTGACAAACAATAAACTTTATTAAGAAAAATTATTAAAAGAAATCTTGACCTCTCTCATTTATATCAGCAACACCACCAATAACAAAAGAAGAAGGAATTATATTTTTTAAAAAAATATGGCTTATGGAATTAAATTTTTTTATTGACACAGAAAATAAAATATGTATAAGGAGATGAAATCTTTGATATGGCCATTTATCTATCACATTAAACACGCTGATGAAACTTTTTTTTTGTTGCTGATTCCTCTTCATTTCGATCATCTTAACAAGTTCCTTTATAGATTATTATGGCTTACTAATAACTAAACTATTAGGGTGATAAAATAAGAGATTTTCCTCGCAAATCTGACACGTGAATTATTATACTTAAAATCGAGAGTCTGGAAAGATTATTAATTTTTTTTTTAATATAAATAAATTTTTTGTGATCGCATGTGGACCCTGGAGACTTGCAGACTTTTACAGTCTCTATGAGTAAAGAAAAAAGAATGTCTCGTGTAGTTTCTGTCTAGAAATTAATGCACAACTGGAGTTCTTATTGTTTTTTTAGACTGTTTATTATGTTCGCTGTGCGACTTGATAATTAATTGGATTGTTGTGCTTTTAAGTGTGAATTGGGAGGAATAAAAGAAGCTTTTGATGAATCAAACCTAAGACTTATAAACCTACTTAATGCTGATAAAGATAATCGAGTGGCTGAATTGAACCCTTAATTTTAACCCACTTACATGACAGACACAGAACAATTAATCACGGCACCTTCACATTTTGCTCTCAAGCATCTTATCAGCCTGTCGGTGACGCCAAAAATTTTGACAGTTTCCGCAAGCATGCTGTAATAATCTTCAATTCAATGTCGAGAACCAAATTATTTGAGTTTTATGGATTTTAGTTTTGAAACTTAAAGTTTATTCTTATTTGAAAGGATTTTAAAGCTTTGATTGATTTTCTGTCGTAATAATCATCAAAATAATTTAAAAATGGACAAACCTCCTTAAGATTCAGAGCAAAAATTTAAAATTGATAAAATTTCAATTATTCCAAAAATTTCTCGGATCTTTAGAATATCAAATTAATAACAAAGGATTTAAAAGTTTTTCATAATCCCAAAAAGAAGTTTCGTCAGACAAACATTTATTTTTATGCTAAGACAAAACGAAAGGAAGTGAGAAACGAGCAGCAAAACAGCCTTGCACACATTAGTAAAGGCACACAAAAAAAATGAGAAGCAGAACCGAAAAAGAATTAGCAGGAATGGAATTTGGGTGTAGACAAAGTGTATAGTTGCAGCCATGAAAGACTTCAGGCAATGCAGATTCTTTCTGAAATATTTCTTCATTCTTCTTTTTTATGAGCATGCTGTTCAGTAATTCATAACTTTTCAGTATTTTTTTTTTCGTGCAAAAAAAGAATGAAAGGAAAAAAAAATCAAATTAAAATTATTTTTTTCTCTCACTACTTCCTGTAATTAATGTACTTACATTTCGTTTCTGTACCATTATTTTAATTTTTGTTCTTAGAAATGCCTTTGTGCTTTGCGAAATGCTTGAGAATGCAATTTTTTCGGGAGTATTTTTAATAGATTTTGGAATTTTTGTAATGGATTTTATAGATTTTGGAAGAATCTAAGAAAAAATGAAGTTCAAGAAGTCAAAAAAATGATTAAATTTTGGGTAACAACTAAATTTTGGATCAGAAAATGAATTAGATTCGGATTTTGTATGAAAAATTGGACTGAAGTTGAATTAATTTTGTCCAGTGTTTAAAATTAAACCGGCATGAAGACAGCACGAACGCGATTCTAAAATACTCAATTGTGCTTTTCAAAGATCCATTCAATATTTCATTCATAAATTCCAAAAAGCACAAATCTCATCAGTATTTTTGCTCACATCATTTGATATTTAATACGAAAAAAAAATATTCCACTCAAAAATTCCACAATTATTGAATGAATAAAGATCGTCTCTAAAACAATTTGTAATGAAACTAGTAATGAGAGAGTGAGATGAACGACACATGCGAGAGACAGAGAACAAAAAAAAAGTATTCAGTTCATTTAAATTGTTTCTACTGTAGTATTCTACATATGAGATAATCTTTGTTATTATTCAATCATTCCAACATCCGCTTTTTTGCTGTTTTTCCTCTCTATGCTAAACACAGTCACAGCATTTTTTATTTTGTGTAATGTGCTATTTATTCATAGTGAGATACATTCTTACGCCATAGCACATCTCTCTTTTTATGCTTCCTCTTCTTTATGATTCTTTCATAGTTATTTTCGCTTTCTCGGTATTATTTTTTTTTCCTTAAAAAAAATTACAACGGGCCTCAAGAAAACATTTCCTTTTAGGCATTTCATTCTTTACATCTCTTCTCTCTTCTCGTATATATATATGCTTTTTTTTGTTGTTAGAAACGTTATTTTTATGTGAAGAGTCGTAGAAGCAATAATAACAACAAAAACAACTCGAGATGAAGAGATGAAGAGAAGTAAAAAAATAATGTTAAAGAATTCTGACGAATATTCTGAGAATACAGGTTTTCAAAGTATATAGAGTCTCATTTTTTCTTATGTTGGAATCTTTTGTTATTTTCCATAGATTGAAATAACAATGAATAAAAAAAATTCGGTAAATTCTTAACACTTATTGTTATTTTTTTTCCTTATTTTCATTGAATCTTGTGCAGCATAATTGCACATTCTTACATTTTGAGAGGGAAACTTAACTCGAGTTGACAAATGGAACCTCAACATTTAATTTTGCAACAATTGTGATTTTTAACGGTAATTTAAAAATCAAAATAAGAAGAAGGGGAACACAATTAACTGAGGATAATCCTATATTTAATTTCACATGTTTACAAAACTTTATCTCAATTAAATTATCATTCAACAAAAGATTAAAAGAATATATTTGCTAACGACGAATTTATCGGTCAATAATCTGCTGCAAAAACTGAAGGGGATAACGACATGATGGGAAATTTCTCACCAAAACGTTTATTAGAAATTGTTGAGAAGCTTCCAATCATTGTGAGAAATAATTGTAAATTTCACATCATGTTGTTATCCCCCTCAGCAAAAAACTACAAATTGATTTCTCGAGACAGCACGTTTTCAAGCCAAAAAATGGACGAAAGAAGAAAATCATATCAGATTATCTGACACAATCATATAATTATCATGTCTATTTATGATCATTAATTAATATTTTTTTTTCTCTCTTTTCTTTCCATCCTTTTAGAAGTATCTTATCTTATGGCAAATCGAAGGCACATAATGATGATGAATATTGAGAAGAAACGAATACTTCTGAATATACTTCATAAGCTTTGAGAAGTAGGACGTCTATATACATTCAAATTGTAGAATTAACAGAAAGTAGGAAGACTCTACTTTGTGCTTAAATTGAGGAAGATAATAAAAATAATACGAGAAGATTAAAATAAGAACTAGAGTTGGGAATTTAAAGGCGCTTTATTAGTGTCTACATATGTTTCATGGATCGCAGAAATGGCGGTTCCAATCATCTGGCGCCTCCGAGGCCCCCTAAATCAATACCACGCGTTCATCGACCCAGAGCGCCGGATCCAAATTCTGTAGATACAGTAGATTCATCGCCTTCCATTCATATCATCAGCACACATCCTCCATCAATTAGCAGAATGAATAGCAATATAATTAATAACAGTTCTAGTTCCATTAATTCTTCATCAAATTCAACGACGACGACGACAAACACAACAAATATAAATCATCGATCGATTCCATCATTTCCACCACCAGTCACCGCACCATTGACACCATTACAAAATTGTAGAAATTCAAGTAATAATAATAATAATAATAATAATACTAGTAATAGCAATAATTTAACATCATCATCAACAACGTCATCAACAATTAGTACATTTTCACGAAGAAGAACGGAAATGACATCGACAAGTTCGACACAACCATCAACAACAACAACAACAAATTCAAATATCGTTCAACGTTCCTTAACTCCATCATCATTAATAACACCAACAGCAAATTTAATATCAAATGCAATTAATGCAGTGGTGAGACGAAGTCCATCGCCTGTTAATAGTAATAATAATAATAATATAAATAGTAATAGTAATAGTGTAACACTTCAATTACCTCGACCGGAGAATGAGCGTCTGCCGAATGAGTATGTGGATACGCCGTTTACAAATCCAAATCAAAATAAGCTGACGACACCGGGAAGTAGACATTCGCTAGCAACATCAACAGTACCAAATCGAAATAATAATCAGTTGAATGGCCACACAATTTCCATTATTGATGGCACTAGTGTATTAAATAATAACAACAATATTAACAATAATAATAATAATAATCTGAATAATAATATAAATAATAGTAACAAAATAAATTTACCAAATCGAACGGCGGGCGTTCAGCGACCAAATCTGCTTCCAATCACCAAACAGCCATCATTTAGAAATACCAATACGATAAGTAAAAAGGATGCATCTGTGCTGCATCAACAATTTAGTCATTGTCCGGAGGACAACATTATGAATTCGCAAAATGCAACAAACAATAATGGTTTGATTATAAGTAATGCTAGTGATCGATTAAATTCAATAACGTGTCCACAATGTAACCGATGTCGATGTGAGGAGTGTCAGCGACCACGTCAATTACCATACAAATGGATTTGTAATGACAACTTTTTATGTTCAGCTGAAACAATCATTGACTATGCATCATGTTTGTGTTGTGTGAAAGGCCTCTATTATCATTGCGCAAAAGATCATGAGCTCGATTGCGATAGTGAAACAATTCGTTGTGCTGAAGATCCTTGCTCGTGTGCGCCTTATAAAAGAGCATCGCGATGGGGCTGCTTAAGTGCATTGTCACTCCTATTGCCCTGTCTTTTATGCTATTGGCCAATGCGTGGATGTGTAAGCTTATGTGCAAAATGCTACGCAAAGCACAGTCGACACGGTTGTCGGTGTAATAATAATTCATCTAGTGCGAATAATAGTCGTTTAAATATAATTAATTTGGCATCATCGCCTGGTCAGGATCAAATCTCAAATCATCATTATCATCGACAGTCAAGTAATATTAATGATTTAACACCGGAGAAAAGGCTTTTAGCTAATGAATATTAAGGAATCAATAAGATCTATGATGATGGATGTAAATTCTCATAAAGGAAACACAGCTATATGCATACATATATACTAAATAAGAATTAAAAAAACAAAAACTATTTGAATTTTTTTCTCGTCGTTCATACTTCAAACTCCTACAATCATCGAGTAAGTAGGAAATATTCTGAGAACAAGAAAAATTATTGCCAAACTTAATCAACTCCCACAAAAACAAAACTTTTTTTCTCTTCATTTCATCTTATAATGAATTACACGTGAAACTCAAGAAATACTATTATTGTTATTATTATTATTATTATTGAAACGTCAAACATGAAAATGAATGAAATGAAAGGAAAAAAAGAAATATTTATTTGTGTATATCCACATACTATATACAAAAAAAAAACTATAATGTAAACATGCATAATATCTAGAAGAAAAAAAAATTGAACAATTTTTAAAAGTTGAAGACGAATTAGAAGAAAAAAATGTTAAATTAAATCTTGAAAAGGAAATGAAAATTTTTTGTATGTATTGTTCATCTTGAACGCGATCATGCAGCATAGAAAATTGCATTTGTAATTATTTTCACTAATTTTATTTTACGCAAGAATAAAATTATGACAAAAAAGAAATTCTAAATTTTGGAGGAAATAAAAAAAGTCCTTGAGTCAAGGACGACGATCGTTGAGTAAATTATATTTGATAAAAGAAGAAGAAATTTAAGTTTTTTTATATAAAACTATTGTAGACATTTTTTTGAAAAGATTTGAAATACTAAAAAAATAACCAAAGACTGCAACACAAAATAATTAAAAAAATTGCGAAAGAAAATGAAAAGAATGATTATTTTCCTATAAAATATATTATACATAAATGAATGCAACTAATAGCTCGAGAATTTCATTGGAATTATGGTCAGCATATGGCTTGCTATCCATTGAAATTCTCAGCACTTTTTAGGAATTTTATTGAAATTTTCTTAATTTGATCGCAGAGAAATTTACAAAAAAAAAATAGAATGTCAATAATATATGGGAATTAATGTTGGATATAAAGAAAATACTTTAAAGCTTAAGGTATCAAAATTGGAGCTTTTATTCAGGTTGGATTCCAAATTTGTCAGCCTGAACATTTTTACTGAGTTTAAATGTCAATTAAAAATGCGCATTTTTGGCTTAAAAACTTTGAAAATTTGACGAAAATAAAAAGAAAGAAATTTATTTGAAACTACTTAAAACACAGAATTTAAAATGCATCATCATGAGAGAAATAAGAAGTAATTTACTGGCGGATATACGGTTGGTAACCATATGGCACTTGACCGCCTAGCCTGTGATCCATTTTTTGTGTCTGTTAGCTTCTCTTTTGTTTTTTGTGAAAGTTTGTTCGTTATTAGAATGTGAAGTTGATTTTCTTGCTGGATAAATGAGATTCAAATGGATTTTAGTGATATTTTTCTGATGAAGATTAAGAAAAAGCAGCAAATCAAGGAATAAAAATTTCAACATTTAAATATCTTCAATAAGAATAAAGTTTAAGTATTTTTTAAGTCAAATAAACAATTGACGATAAATGTGTCGGGTTAGAAGCATAGCCTCAGCAGGAAGCAACTCCTCTGAGAATATACCTCTTATAGGTATATCATAGAGGCAATGCTCAGACATCTCATTCAAAAATAAGTCATAATTTTTCTCTCAGGGAGTGTCAAAGTCAATAGAGCACCTTTATTCTGATTGAAGTTATTTAAAAAAAAAAGATTCAGCATCCATTGAGCTCATTATAAATTTATCACTTGAGAATATTTTTTTAAAGCTATACTTCCGGCTTCACGTAATGAAAATTCATAATATTTCACATTCACGATCATAAATTTTCATATTCACTGATGAAAGAAAGCTATATACACCTACAAAATAATAAAAGAAAGCAATAAGAAGGCAGATTGAGAGAAATTACATTCATAACCCACGTAACCAAAATCGCCGTCAATGAAAAAATCGACTTAAATGTACAATTTTTTGGATGATCCAATAGACGTCGATTTTTCATCCATTACATTCGTTTTTCTTGAGCCGCTATATACTTCACAAGTGCAATCAGAAATCACTTATATAAGGCACAGCCAAATTTTCATACAAAGTGTGATTAATTAATTAAATTAATTACATGCGAATCATTCATTTAAATGAAGACTTCGACTCTTTTTTTCAAAGACAAAATCCTTAATTAATGTTTTTGGATTTTGTCTACAAATTATAGTATAATTAACAAAAAATATTTTCATACAAAAAAATTCAAAAATTTTCCGTTAATCGGTTTTTATATTGTAACGGTCAAAAAAAATTTGATTTTGGGTCAAAAAAATAATCGACGTGAAATCGACGTAAAATCGACTAAAAATCGTCCCTTTTCATATTAGCATAATGTCCAATGTACGATACATGGAATGTACATATGGAACATACATGGAAGATTTTGATGTAATACATAAAGTCTTCCATTCGTCGACTTATGGTTACGTGGGTAATATTCATTTCGGGCCAGAACCGTACTGGATTCTCACGAAACTTATTCAGATTTTTTTAGAAAAAGTTTAGCGCTTCATAAAAATAACCAACGAAAGTGTCGAGACTAACATAAAAGTCAATAACACACAATCTCAAAAAAAAAAAATCGAACAAGAAAAAAAAAATTTCATAAATATGCTTCCATTGATAGTTCAGTAGAGGCACAAGAGAGAATGAGAAGTAAGAAAAAAAATACTGATCGTATTTGTGAATCAAACGTAAAAACTGGCAACAACGGATCGTTTTCCTTTCATACAGTATAATGTGACAACTAAAAATGCTTACAACTACACATATTCTGAGCAGCGATCACATTTTATTTATTTTTTCTCTCAAAAAAATTGATTCTTTTACATAAAAAAAAGAAACTATACAGCGACAACCTATTTTTTTACGTCTTCACAAAGCAATGCCTTATCACTATTTTCAAATAATGAAAGAAAAACATTTTTTTTTGATAAATTACAAACAGGAAGTTGAGACTTCTTTTTTCGAAAAAAAATGACATGCGTTGTGAAGAACGAATTCTTAAGAGAAACGAAAAAAAAGGCACTCTTGTATATTTTTTCAACTTGAAGCCCGAAATTCTCGATAAAATGAAGAATGAAGATTCTTTTATGCTTCGATGTTAATGTTTTTGAAGCAGAAAAGAATGAAAAAAACTTCTTTCTTCCTTTTTCTTACTCACTCGATTCTTGTGAGAATGTTGTATCGGTTTGGAGGGATTTGAGGCGCATTTGATGATCTGATTTTGGATTGATACTTGAAAGACTTAGTGAAGATTCATTTAGATTTGCAAATGTTGAAAATAAGTTTCATTTTGGTATGAAATTCTTAAATTTTAATTTAAACAGCAAATTTGTATTGTTTTAAAACCTAAAACCTTTCAAAAATACAAAATTGTGCTTATTAGAGTCAAAAATCTTTTGTTTTTGGTTCCAATGACAATCTTAGATAGTTTTTATCTTTAGAATCTTAAAAAAAAGGATTTAATTACTTTAAGAATTCTTAATTTCTGATCCTCAATACAATCCTAGCCAATTCAAACATTGAAACCATTCAAAAATCCCAAAGTCAGTTCTTAAAAGCCAAAAATCAATACTTTTTATTGATTCCTTCAATTCTAACCTCGAACTTTAACATCAATCTAATCAAAACCATATAAAACCCAATCCTCACTTCCTGAATTCCATAAAAAGTCACAATAAACAAAGATCAATCAATACCTGAAGCTCTCCGATCACTGACCTATGAAATCACCTCAAGCAAGTAGTTTGATGCGATTTCCTATAAAGTCAATTGCGAAATATCACAATAACTGATTCATTATTGATACAGTCATGAAATCATAGTCATTGCTTTGTTTTAAAAATTTACACCTGACTTAGTCTTGACTCAAATTGATCAAATCAAGTGAGAAAAATGCGCCAAAGATCCTCAAGTCGTGCCAGTTTCCAAGCAATTTCAGTATAATTTATTGAAAACGATCCTGAAGAGAGAAAAAAAGGAATTCAATGGACCATTATTTACTCATATTTATGATGAAGCATGAATTTCTGAAAGGAACGAAATGAAAGAATGAAAAAGGAACGTCCTATATGATCTACGTTTCTCTTTTTAACGCATTTTTTTTAATGTTTTTCTTCTTCTTTCTCAAGAGGAATTGAAAAACAGATGGTTGTCACTAGCAAATGATCCTTCAGAGATTCAAAACTATTCTCATTCTGGCTTTTTTTAACATTCGTCTTTCTTCTGTTTTTGGAGGAAATCGGAGAAGCGATGCTAAATAAAATAATAATAATGATGATGATGTTGCAAAGGAAATTGCTACTTTATGTGTGACGATAATTGCATTTTCCTATGAAATTTCTTTCTTTTTTTTTCGTCTCTTATTCAAATTTTTTTTTATTTTATTATTTTTATTTATTTCTCATGTTTTTCTTGTTTTTTGGAAGTAAAGAAAGAGGACGGAGGCAAAAAAATTACCTGAACTGCTTTTTTGTCCTATTTAGGATGTAAAGCAAAATATTGCGCATTAAATGAAATTTTAAAATATATAAAATAAACAATTTAAAGATTATGAAGAACGCCTTATTTTCTTTTTTCTAAAAAAAAAACCTGACGATATGAAACAAAAATAATAAACATATATTAAAGAAAAAAAAAAATATTTAGAATGTGACATATTTATTTGATGAATTTTTTGAAGAAAAAAATTAAAATAAAAATAATAAACATGAATGAAAAATAAATATATGTAAAATGTACATTACATTATTAACAGAAAATTTGCAGATTGTTGAGTTTTGGATTATCAGAGACAAATTTTGATTTAAAGTTTGACGTTTTTTTTGAAATTTTGAATAGTTTTGAGTTCTTGAAACTTTAATATTTAAAGCTCAGCTTTATTATTTGAAGCTAAGCTTTAGTATTTGAAGCTAAGCT